ATTATGAATTGGAATTCCATTTAATTCCAATTAACAATTTTACTCTTAAATTATTCAAAATAACTAATATAACCCTCCATTGAATTTAATTCAATGATAATAATATAAATAGTTTTATTACCCTTGGTAGGTGCTAGCCAACCTTGGATAATCAACTCTCTTTAGCTGTTTTTCCATTCTCCTTAGTTTTTATGTGTGACCTCTTAGGTTCACTGTGGCCTAGCCGTGGGCCCAATATCATAGCTATTTCAATATGTTTTGTCATAAATCTTTATGAATAAAACTCACACCGATTATGATAGACATCTAGCAATGCTCCATAACCCCTAAGTCACAATGAAGAGATACTCCAATGAATCATTTTATAATCATACATGCTGTATAATCAAATCCTTCCGTTGTCTAATCCCAATTAAGAATGTATTCATGGTATGTCAAAATCCTTATCTTAACTTTATATCAAATCGACAATCAATACATATGGAACATGTCACCATGAAACAACCTTTCAAGTAACATTTTATATACCTCGACCGAAGATTTCTCTTTTCCAATGTATCTTGACATTTGTCTAGGAACTTGATATCAATTTATACCAAGTCAACGGATCCTATCTTAACTATCACTTGCCCTCACACATAAACAACACATGGCCAAATCGGCTTATTAACGCATGACATGATTAGCCTTGTGTTTATACACCATATGAACCATATGCGTTTATCCAGAATCCAACCGTGATATCTGAGGTCTAAGGATTAATAATATACTAGTACGATCTTATGATAAATCATTGACTACATTTTAAATGTCCATGTGATTCATCATAAATGGTCATATTCAATAAACAGTTCACTAACCGCTTATCCATGCTAATGCCCTAGTGATATAACTTTTATAATATCCACACTAATACCATCACATGATATTCTACGGAGGTATTCAACATGCCTACTGTGTAATATTATTGCCCAATTAATATTACCTATATAGGGAATACTTTGATGATTTTGATCTTCTAAAGATTTATATCATCCGGACATTTCACATGTAATACATATATATAAATGAAGTAATAAACCACATGTGAAATAAGAATACTTTCTTCTATTGATAAGATAAAATTTATATACAAAATATATACATTAACATATATATACAAAAAAAAAAAACATAAGGCCTTGGAACCGACGACACGATTGGTTCCTAGGGCATACACTAACAGTGCCAGCCCACAAAATTTGAAGGCCCACGGCATGGCCCGTTATATATCGTGCCATGCCTTGCGCCGTGTCGTGGGCTGTGCCATGGGCTGGCCCACGTGCTTTGTAAAAATATTTAATTTTAATATTTATAAATTATGGTAATTTTGATATATTATTAATAATTATTATAAAAAATATATGTTAATTAAAAATATATAATCACTATGAAATATAATAAAATATTGACACTGAAATATTAATTGAATTTTCAACATTTTTTATTACTTATAAGTTATAATTATAAATTACAAATACAAGCTTAGAAATTAGGATTAAGAATTATTATACATCTTCATTTTCGTTAATTTCTAAATTCTTAAAATCTTCAAATATATCTTCAGCAACACGATTTTGAAGCTTGAAATCTGCCGCCACCCAATTTTTCATACACATAATGGCTTCAACAGCACTTGGATGTAAACTTGATCTTCTCTCGTCCAATACATGCCCACCTACACTAAAAGCTGATTCTGATGCTATAGTAGAAACTGGAGGCATTAGTAAATCACGTGCAATAGTGGAAAGTATAGGATAAGTCTTTTGATGTGCTTTCCACCATTGAAGAATATCAAATTGATCACTTTAAATCGTAATTTCAGCCAAATGATTCATGCTAAAATAATTTGTAATTTCATCATATGAAGAGCTTGCACCTACTGGTTGTTTACATTCAGTGATGATAGACCAAATACGCTCTTTTTTACATATGGAGGAACTTGACATTGATGGTATTGGTGGTTGTATACTTGTCATGTTTCCATGTCTAAATTCATAATGTGAATACATTTGAAGTAATAAAGTTTGAACATCTTCTACTGAAATTTTTAATGGGGTCTCTAGGTTTGTTGAAATTTCTTGTATCATATTATTTACACCTAATAATTTTACCCCAGGATCCATTACTGTAGCTAAAGCAAACAATATAGGCATTTTTTCCCAATATTTTTTTAATTTTTTTTTCCATTTTTTTTGCAATATTTCTAAAAACTGCATGATCTCTATATTCTTTAAAAGTAAAACTAATATCTACTATATGCTATAAGACCAAACAAATTATAGGATAATAAATACCATAACCTTGTTCAGTAGCATCATTTAAAGGTTCTAAAATATTCATTAAGGAAAAACCAAGTCCTCAATGATTTCTAGTCAATAAATGATCATATTGTTTTGTATTAAAAAATTGTGTAATAGCATTTTTATATGATTCACAAGATTTTAACACTAAATATGTGGAGTTCCAACAAGTCCTAACATCAGTTTTCAATTTTCTCTTTTATAACCCCTTTTGCTTACACATACTATGGTATTGTTGTAAACATGAAGGAGATGATGAAATAAATGTAATTGCATGCCTACTTAAATATATTTCATTTTCAATTGATTTTATTCCATCTTGTGCAATTAAATTTATTATGTGACAAACACATCTAATATGAAATAATTGACCTTCATAAGGTGGATTTAATTGTTTTGACAAAAAAAATTAATAACTCTATCATTTGATGATGCACTATCGAATGTGAGAGAAATTTTTTTATCATTTATTTCATATTCACTAAAAAATTTAGCTAATTCTTCATAAATAATTACGCCAGTACGTGGATATTCTAATACACAAAATGCAAGAATTTTTTTTTCTAGTTACCAATTTGAATTAATAAAATGACCCCGTTGCACAAATATATCCTAAATCTTGATTAGTGGTCTTCCATAAATCAAAAGTAAACGAAATAACTCCATTAAATTTATTAAGTGTATTTTTAATATTTGTTTTCATTTCATTGTAAATTCTAAAAATATCAGCTCTTAAGTGTTTCTAGAAACTCTCTTAAAAGCATGTTATACGCTATTTTGCATATACCATTCTAAAATTGGATCATCACCATATGAAAAAGGTTGATCGGTTGTGACAACATACCTGGCCATATAGTCTCTCATGTTTTGTTGACTATATGTGAAGCTAGAATTCTCGCCCATTACACTATTTGATTAAGTACTAGTTGAATCACATACCGATGCAACAGATGTCCTTGTAAATGAAATTTGTTGTTGCCCTTTTAAATGTTGTATCATTTTTTTGCAATGTTCATTTGTATGCCTCCGAAGATGCCCAATGCCACCTGTACTCGAACTGGCCAAATTAGAACCACAATATTTGCACACTGGACGTCGCACGATTTCACCACGAAATGTTTCTTGTGTTTCAGTAAAATGCTCATAAACCATTGATTTTTGCTTTCTTTTCTTTTCTAGGGGTGGCTGTGATAGATTTTGTGGTGGTGACTCATTATCAAAATAATCAAAATGCTTAAATTCATTTGAATTTTGATCTATTTTGAAATTTGACTAAAAATTAAAATAAATTTGACCAAAAAAACAACTGAGAATTTGACAGAGATTATGAGAGCTTGAGAGTTGAGAGAGAAAGGAGAATGAAGATTGGAATTGAGTGTGAAAAAATTAGAGAAATAATTGGGTATTTATAGGAAAAAATTAAAAATTAAAAAAATACATATACAGGGGGGTAACAGCTATTTTTAACTTAAAATCTTAAAATAGCTGTTACCCCCTTATGTAAGGGGCAACAACTATTTTAAAATAACCATTATCCACTTGCAACGGGGGTAACGACTATTTTAAAAAATAGCTATTAATTTTATTTTTTTATTTTTTTCGTGCCGACCCACAGGCTTTTTTAAGGCCCACGGTACGGTCCGCATATTTTTGTGTCGTGTCGTGCATGCTTTTTTTCAAGCCGGCGGTATTAAAATAATTATTCTAATAAATTAATACATCTGTCAATTAACATGCTTTTTTTTTTTTTTCCTTATAATTATGTTATTTATCATTCGTATAAAATAAACGAAGGGTACTTAACGTTTTTCGAAACTGTATAAAAAAATATAAATGGCGGTTAATTGAATTAGATGTAACCGTTGCTTTCATATGCTGGAAAAATAACAAATTCATCCCTGTTTGGCTGAAGTACCTTTAATCTTGGAAATTTTTTGGTAATTTTTGGTCCCTACAATGTCAGTAACAAACATGAGGGACTAGAACGTGACTAAAAAACAATGAAAAAATATATAGCTGGACTAAATTTCAGGGATGAAATTGTTATCAACCCTTCATATACAGATGTACTAATGTAGCTAAGACTAAAACCTCGTAGTAAACTAACTTTTGGTGGTTGAGCGATCAGGACTCTTAAGTGTATTACTCAAGAGATTTTGAGTTTAAGTCTCTCTTCAAGTGTTAATAAGGGTAGACACTAGAGTTCTTATCCGACTGATAGTTCTAGGGTCCTAGAAGATTAGTTGAGATATATATAAGTTGGCCTAAACACCCCCAATCATAAAAAAAAAAAAGACCTCAGACTCGAAGCCACTAGAGCTCTTATTAGGCCGGTAGTTCTAAGGTCCTGATGGATTAATTATGGTTCGTGTAAGTTGACATAGATACCCCCAATCATCAAAATGAAAAACCTGAGTCACTGGATCTCTTATCCAATTTATAGTTCTCAGATTCTAGGGGATTAGTTAAAATGCATATAAGTTTACCCAACACTGGAGTCATAAAAAATAAAAAAATGGGACCAAAATGTATGTAACTCGTAATCATTGGATCTACATTTATTAGACTTTTAACTACAAACGACCTAGAATGGACCACGTGGCAGGGAGAAGAAGACAAAGAAGCATGTGAGTGTAACAAACGCAACTGCCATCTGCAGTTGCCTATTATTTGCTCAGCCTTTGAACCAAAGCAAAAAGATGAACACCACCAAGCTATCAACAATGATTTCATCTTATTCATCCACCGTCAAAACCACTTCTCGCTATTCATCTCTTCCCTCTCTCTCCCCTTCATCTTCTTCTCGGAATTCTATTCCCGTCAAGCAGTCATTATCCTTTCCTCCCAGTTCACTCTCCACTCAAACACGGAATCTCACCGTCATCACCGCCTCCAAATCACACGATTCCAATATGGCTCCCTCTGTTCAGGTGATTGATTGTTGATTGTGTTAATGCTGATCAAGATAATGATTCACTCTTAGTTTGATTATGTGTTTATATTTTCTATATTATTGTAGGGACGTGAATCATTTTTCAGGAGTGTGTTTGCAAATATGGAAAAGGTTTATTTAGACAGGAACCCAACTGCAAAAGCTGTGTTGGACCACGTTCGATCAGCTGATGACAGTCAAATATGCTATGATCATATTGCTTTCAGGACATTCGGGGTATATTTTCTCTGTTTGATTTTAGCATTTCCTGGCGTCGAGATTTAATTGCTTGCTGTTTAATTCTGGCACACATATATACATGCTTTTGATTTTTTGTTGGTTGTATTTATGAGTGAAAATTGGCAATCTATCATAGTTATAGAGAGTGAATAATTCTGCAAATGGATCATCATATACATTTATTTTTCCTTTGGAACAATGTAGGTAAATGGTTATGGGATTGATTCCATTGCAAGTTTTTTCTTGGATTATGGCTATACACAAAAAGAGGAGCTGAGATTTCCTGCTAAAAAACTGAAAGCGCTGTGGTTTTCGCCTCCTAGTGTTCCGCATCCTGATGGCGGTAGTGGTGTTAGTGAGCCTTTGCCTAGAGTATTCATATCAGAGCTTCTTGTGGATCAGATGAGTCCGCAGACTCAGGTGTGTCTCTGGGTCCATTCTTGAGGTGCTGTTTTACATTTAGTTTTCAGTACAAGGTGATGATTTAATGTAATTTTTTCTTGCTTTCATTTTGTTTCCTGCACAAATGATATGTGTTATGGTTAGACCTTTGGATTCTGTTTTCCACTAAACTCTAAATCGATGTTTCTTACTACATCGTAGAACCTACATTATTGCATGTTGAATTTTGATGGAAAATTAATGATGTTCAGCCAACTGGTTTTAAGGTTCTGAAATCACTTTCAAAGTACGAGTCAAAGGAACTTTCTATAGTCCTGTTTTTGGTGTCATTGCCAAACCACACCAAGTGGTAGGGTTGATTCAAGTGGACAGGGTATAATAATGGTTGTGGCTATTTTATGGCCTATGGTCTTTTACAGGCCATATATCCTGTCTTGAAATCGAAATAAAGTGATGGAATAGTTCATGTTGGAACCAATTAGAAGTTCATTTTCTCAAGTAGAGAACACTCTTGAGATTGAGAATAATGTAAGAAGCTATCTACATCATCTATGGTTTAAGTGATCATGTTTTTAATTTCTTTGACCATATTATGTTGTATACACTATACAATGTAGGCTTTATTACTTGTTTTTATAATCATTATATATGCAAGAAAAACTGTGGAATTAGTTCCAAAACCCCGTTTGCCAATCCTTTCTCCATAGTTAAAAGAAGGTTCCCAAGCTGATTAGATAGAAATTTTACTATTATATGTTGATTTTGTTATTTAGTTTTTCCCAACCAGTCACATCCAAGTTGCAGCATATTTTGGTAAAATTATCTACACTTTCTATTAGTTTTACTTTTACATTCTCACCTGTTGATTCCTTCATACGAACCTATTTATTGCATCCTTGAAACTGTTGCTTTTAACATTCAGGAAATAATTAAAAAATACACTGAAGCATCTGGTAGTGGGAATAAACATGCTGCTCTTGCAAGTGCGCTGGGATCTTTAACATGGGGAAAGCCCTTACATTCTGAATTTCAACAATTGGCAAGGTATCAATCTTCAATCTTTGTAGTTTTGGTTTTGTGTGTTATTAATTCAAGTAAAGCTAGTATTTGATCCAATCATGTAGGATACAGATGTTGCTGTATAAAATGACTGTTATATTGGTGTTGTAGTGCCTAAAACCCATTGACAGGATCTACAATTTATGACTGAAAAATTTATCTTAGAAGATTGATTAATGTTCAATTTATGATATTAGGGAAAGTGAATATGCTGCCTGGACCCTTGTTAATGGCTATGCAGTGAACCATGTCACTATTTCCACTCATCGGCTGAAATCCCATTTGAAAAACATTAAAAGTCTGAATGAGTTTATTGAAGAGAATGGGTTCAGGTTGAATTCTGAAGGGGGAGTTCTTAAAGGTATGTTACTGGTGCAACCATAGCCAGGGTCATTGTTTTTCTTATGCAAATTAATAATCTTATTGAAATTCATTTAGAAATCAATGTTTTGATAGCTTTTTATAGATTGCTATTTTTTACTGCTTTAAGTATTGTCTAAAGATTATTCTCGTTGCAGACTACAGAAATCGATAATCTAACTACTTCATTTCCTTCATTGCAGTGAGTCCTGATGGCCTTTTGCTGCAAAGTTCAACTGTGGCAGATTCAATCTCTTTCAAATTTTCTGATGGTGTCACAGAATCAGTCCCCTGTTCATACATTGAGTTTGCTGAACGTCTTGTGTTGCCTCAGTATAAAAATCTGCCTGAGAAAGAGGTAACCACAACTTCTCACTGTAAGCATGGTTTAAAAAGTAATGTTCTGAACTTAATTCTGCAACCTGACCTGATTCACACTTTAAAATCTTGTATGTAGCCTAGTTATAGGCTTCATGAATATTTGTTTTGTTCATCTGTGTAAATTTTTTTCTTGATGCATTGCAAACTTACTTTCTTAATGTTAACTACACAGGTTCAGGAGTTTCATAGGCGAGATGGATTTGAGGTTGGAAATGCCGACAAGATCTTTGAGAGTACATCCAAAGAGCAGCTTACCAGGAGAGCTGCTTGAGATAGAAAATGAAACTCAATAATAAATTAATTGTCAAGCTTAAAGAAATAAATATTTGACAGGTACATTTAGTCGGAGGTTCCACAAAGTAAAGTTCTCTGTAATGTCAATGTATATATATGTTAGAACAAAAAGCTATTGAAGGCCTGAAGCATGTAAATGAACTCTAATCATAATAAACGGAAAGTGATTTATTAGAATGTATTCTTTGCGTTGTTGTGAAAGAATATTGAAGAATATTTCCATTTATTTTGGCATTATGAGAGAATATTTTCCCATTTATAAATGATCAGGCAAAGACTTCTAAGACTTATCTGCATTAAATTTCACAACCAGAGATCAAACTGACAGCAAAATGGAAAGAGGGAATGAGAGGAAAACATTTCCTTAATATTTCCAAATAGATTAAAGCAACATATGGTTGCCATTAGACATTTTGCTCCGTAAGCTTAACCTGCCTTGATATTCTCCCCTACTTGGAGGCCAACACTCCAAAAACACAACATAAAGCACGTTTTTCTGTTGCTTTCTCAGTTGTCCAAGAACAAATGCTTTGACACAAATTACATCTATACCGAGTGAAAAAGGGGGGAATAGAAATAAATGAAGAAAATGGGGTCAGAAAGGAGAGAACCAACCCAATCCTATTGTTTGCCATTGGGTTTTGGTGATTGATGGGGATACTGATGGTGATATGGAGAAGCATGCGAACCATTCGGTATAGAAAGGCTTCTCTGCCCATTTCTTGAAAGTGATCCGGCCTGACTTCGCAAGCCGTTTCTGGTATTGGGACTCGAGCCTATTCGCTCAGCTTGCATGGTCTGGAAATAATATGATGAGCTTGCCATGTCCTTAAGATTGGGCAGAGGCTTCAAGACTTCAACAACTTCACTCATGAGGGGCCTGGCTTTTGGATCCCGACTGAGGCAGTGAGCAGCCAACTGGGCAGCTTTCTGGGCACCTTTGATGGAAAAGTGACCTTCAAGACGAGGGTCAATCAATCTGTAAAATCTTCTTCTCTCTCCTAGATGTGGCCGAGCCCACTCAACAAGATTATGTTCCCCATTAGGTCGGTTCTTGTCCATAGATCTCCTGCCAGTCAGCATTTCAAGTAGAACCACACCGAAACTGTAGACATCACTCCTTGATGTAAGATGTCCTGTGATAGAAACAAGTTTGTCTGATTAGGCCAAATAAAGGAATTAAATATGTACTCTATGCTAATAAAGAAATCATCAGGAGGTTAAGTCCTCTAAGCTCAGACTTGCAGGATTTTTTCTCATTCCAGGATTGATCAAGGACACTGGCACTTGAAAGCAGAAGACTTACACTGAGAAAAAAAGAAAAGCAGAAGATTATCACTAGATGAATTTGTTCTTAATTACACCTACCAGTCATTACGTACTCTGGTGCTGCATAGCCGTAAGTTCCCATCACACGGGTTGATACATGGGTTTTATCTCCCTCAGGACCATCTTTCGCAAGTCCGAAATCGGAAAGCTTGGCATTGTAGTCCTGAAATAACATATTGTTAAACTGACAAACCATAATAGGAAAGATTTAATTTTGCCATTGGTTTTGCCACATACTGCATCTAATAGGATGTTGGAGGTCTTGAAATCACGATAAATCACAGGCCTTTCAGCTTCTTCGTGTAGAAATGCAAGACCTTTTGCAGCACCTAGTGCAATTTTCATTCTTATGGACCATGGAAGTGGCAAGGACCCTGCATATGACACAAATATAAAGTAAACATAAAAAAAACTGTATCTGATGACAATTCTCACCAACAAACAGAAACTGGCAATATCAAACCAGGTCCTAGCCATACAGAAGAGATATAGCCCTACATCAGCATTGACTGACATGAAAAATGGGACTGTCATTCAAGTGGTCACACATTTAAAAGTAGATAATTGATTCCACATTTCTAAACATGATATACAAAATTGGCAGCGTGAGAAAGTAACATTGTTGAAGCACACACAGAACTGCTGCTTGGAAACCATAGATCTATTCCTGATTTTGGTGGTAACATGCACTGTACTTCCAGTTTAGCTTTCACACTTACACAGTTTCCAGCAGAATTACTAAGCAGATAGAATATAATTTCTATCAAAAATTGCTTTTTTCATTCTATTAAGGACAGAAGCAATATTTGTAAATTTAACTTATTTTAATCAAGGGGCGACAAGTGGCTATATTGATGGTAGAGATGAAAAGTTTCGAAAGCACCTCCCTATGTAATTCAAGAGGCCTAAACAGAAACTTTAAGATCCAAATTCCAAAACCACACAGAGATGAAAAGGGAAGCTTAATGACAAAAAGGAAGCAACATACTTCTGAAAAGGTGGTTCTCCAAGCTTCCCCGGGGCATAAACTCATATACTAGCAGCCTTTGATCATCTTCAATGCAATAACCAATTAATTTAACCAAGTTAACATGGACGAGATCACCTAGAAAATTCACTTCAGCCTGCAACATAGATGAGCCAAGATTCAGACAAGAAAGAGACTTAAAAACAGACATTTAAATTAAAAAAAAAAAAAAGGTCTGTTAAAATCATAAGCAGGAAATAGAACAGATTAGGGAAATTGCACACCAGCCATTCTTTATGGCCCTGAAGACCATCATGGTTAAGGGTTTTAACAGCAACAGTAAGCCCCGTGCCAGGTTTAACAGGAGCAGTTCCATTTTCTTCTATCCAGCCCTTGAAAACACAACCAAAGCCACCTTCTCCAAGAAGACTCTCAGGCCTAAAATTTCGTGTTGCCAACTTCAGATCATTAAATGTAAATTTTCGTAGCCTAGAAGCAACTTTAAGCTCTTCCTCAAGCTTAGAAGTGGATGAATTACTTTCTGCATTACTGGTGGTAGTAGATGAGACTACTGGAGCTGTTGGTTGGTCTCTACTGGTATCATTTGTAGATTTACTTTCTGCTGATCCACAAACAGGTTTCATAATTTAGAATGTAAGTCATAAATATTCATATGCTACGTCAACAGATGCATTTTCTTACAATATTCAATAACAAAAATAAAAAGGAAGAAGGATGGGGATTCGTCCTTAAAAGCTGGAATTACTCAACATTGTGGGACTTCCCAAAACAGATTTATGAACAAAAATCTAAAAATATGGTTTTGAAAGTCAATCTAGATATGAGAAAGATGAGTGTTTCAATAGAGTGAGATTGAAAAAGATACAACTAAAATTATCATTTACAGGAAAAAGTTAAATATTATGTAACATGTTGATACATGTTTAACATGAAAGAAAAGACTATGAAGCTGCTTACTCAAACTTGAATCAGTCATCAACAACAACTGGCTTTTGGAGTTACATAGTCAGAAAAGCAATCCAAAACTCTCCAAGCCATAATATGCTCTTGCTTTATGATTTAAACTTGACCTTATAATTAGTCCTACTCTAAAACTGCATCACTCAAGCAAATTTTGAACCAAACAAAATCTATTCACTGTACGATTACCTTATTCTAATTTTTTGTGATGCAGGTTCTCACAAATCCAAGATGTTACCACTACCTTCACTACCTTAGGAAGTTTCACATTACATACCCACTGTCTCTCCCACACATTGAAGTGAGANACGGGTTTGCAATGACTTAATTCCTTTTAATGAAATTTATACACAAGCATTCCCATTTTGCCCTTACTCTTCTTTAGGAATTATATCTATATCCTTTGATTCATTACAAACACACCCCCCATAACAACATATTCTCCATGAAAATTCCTTATATTTTACTCCCCACTTTTCCTACTAATTAGGGGTAGATTGGTCAAAATGCCCTTAGGAAAGAAAATATCAAAAACTTAACAAACATTTTGGTCGGCCTGTCGCCGCGGCGAGGAAGCTTCTGTTGCCGCGGCGAAACTGTCTAGCAGCTTCCCGTGGCTTCAACACCTCTTCGCCCCAGCGAAGCTTGGAACACTGAACTTCTTCTATTTTCAACCAATTTCAGGGCAAGTATTCAACACACCACTCAATCAAAGGTCAACCAAACAATAATACTAATAAACCAACACAAATAAGAGCAAAAGAAGAAACAATAACTACGTACCTCAAGTGGGGCGTTACAAACAAAGCCTTATGTTCCACCTATACCTTTTCCGAGCCGATTGAAGAAAAGCAAATGGGATATGTCATTCTCTGAAATTTATGATATTTTATCCAAAGTTAATGTGAATTTACCCTTGCTTGATGTGATAAGGAATAATGAAAAAATAATGGTTCCTAAAAAGGTAAGTACTACGCTTCAAAGGAATTTGCCACCCAAATTGAAAGATCCAGGTAACTTCATCATCAACTTTACCATGGATGATAAAAAGGAAGAATAAGCAATGCTAGATTTGGGGGCAAGCATTAATCTCATGCCTTACTCCACTTATCTAAGATTAGGATTAGGGGAATTAAAGCCAACAACAATGTCTCTACAACTGGCTGACAATTCAATTAAATATATAAGAGGTATTGTAGAGAATGCCTTGGTTAAAGTTGATAAACTAATAATTCTTATTGATTTTGTAGTCTTAGATATGAAGAAGTTGTTAACTCATGATAGAGATTTGCCTATTTTGCTTGGTTGCCCATTTATGGCTACAACTAAGACAGTGATTGATGTTTAGAATGGCAAGCTCACTATGACAGTTTTGGATGTAACAACTGAGTTTTTAGTTTTCAATTCCTTGGTGTTTCCCTTAGATTCTAATGATTGAGCCTGATAGATTGTGCATTCCGTCTAGCCTAGACATTAAATAAAGCACTTCTTGGGAGGCAACCCAATTTTTTACTTTGAACTTTATGTTAATTTTATTTATGGTTTTATTTTTCTTTAGTTTTTCAAGTGTTTTCAATGTTTTTGTTGTTGTGTTTTAGGTTATTTCATTGTATTTTATGGTTTAATTGTTTGTAGGAAAAGAGCTTCACGCCGCGACGCAAAATATTTATGCCGCAGCGAAGCAAGGAAGAGACATAGGCAATTTGGGAAGCAACTTGATGCCACAGTGCCACACAAGTTTTGATGATGTCTCTAAAGGGGGGTAACTTTCTCTTTCCTTTTCTTTTCTGTTTTTCCTTTCTAATTGTTACATTGAGGAAAATGTAGGTTTTAGGTTGGGAGTGGGGAAGTTAGTTCCCTTTTCCAGAATTTTCTTAATTTTCGTGAATTTTTTTTATTTTTTTGTAGTTTTCATGAGATTTGTTGTGTTTTCATTTTATTTTTAATTGAGTGTGTTTCAGGTTTCTAGATTAATTTATACGTCAATGATAATAACATGATTTCAATGACATGAGCATTTAGAACAAGTCAATTTTTTCTTTAGTTTAGGAATAATTCTGGATGTTGGTTTTGCCTAAGTTTGAGACTCTCATGAATGCGGTTTGTAAGGTGGGTTAGTTCTAGCATTTAGGGATGTTTTATGTGTTACTATCCTATGACATTTTTCTTAGGTCTCCAAATTCTAGAACCTATTTGATGACTGCTTGAGGCGAAATCCTAGACGACACATGACTGAAGAAATGACTTAGGCCATCTTTGGACCATTTGTGCCTTTCAAGCCAACCCTATATTTTATTATATCTTGTCACCCTTTTGTGTCGATATTGAATTTATATTAGCCTTGATTTTCTTTCATTTACCCCGTAATAACATACCCTTTTAACCCTTAAACACACTACTCTACCCATGATTTTTAAGAGGATTTAATCTGGATTTATGAAAAATGAGAGTGTTTGTGCCTGGCTTAGAGTGTTTTCTCAAAATTTTGAAGGGTATTCAAAAGAATGGGTTGGGGGTTGTAATGTATTGTGAATATCACAATAACACAGGGAATGATTATAATATCCATGCTTCCTAACTATAGTTTCGTTACAAACAAAAAATGAGAAAAAAAGAGGAAGAAAAGGAAAAGAAAAAGAGAAACAAAGATGAATGAATCAAGGAAGTATGGAAAGCGTGTAAATGTAAATGTGGTTGGGAAGAGAGACGTAACAAAGGCTTGGGAAATTTACAGAGAATGCGATATGCTTTGAGTGATGTTGTTGCAAATAAGTTAGATTAATCCTCTTATTTTGTTTGATTTGTTTCCATTCTTTCATAACTGATGAGAATGCAAAAAATCATATTTACCCCCCTTAATGTTTAGTCTTTTATACGTATTTGTTGCCCAAATGTACTCATTATTATTCTATTTTGATTTAGGATGCAAATGGAGGCATTAATTGCAAAACGGAACTAATTAAGTGAATTCGGACAGTTTCAATGCTGTTTCGTAATATGGGCATAACTCTCTCATCCGAGCTCCGATTGAGATGATTCAAAATTCTGTGGAACACTAAGAAATATATCTACAACTTTCATGTTTCAAGTTTGGAGAGATACGCACTGCATCAAGGTTGTAATCGAGCTTGAAGTTGATGCATCTGCACTGGATGTCCTGGAGCATTCTGCCTTGTCATGCAAATCAATTGGGCAGTTTATTATTGGAAGATTTGAGGACATGTGGCACGCAAGTTACAGCTCAGAATCACCACTTTCCTATTTTATTTTAGGACTTTATCTTATTTTCAATTAATTAGANCTATTTTGTCTAGGATTTATCCCCTTACTTTTCCACAACCCTAGCACTATAAAAGGATGTTTTTAGGTATTTTTTAAAGAACTTTTACTTCAACTTGGAAAGAACTGGAGGCAAGGAGAAGAGATCTACCTAGGGTTTCATCTTTTTCTCTTGTACTTCATGTTTTTGAAGAGTTTGAGGTTTGATTTCCTTATGTCATGTGTAACTAAATACTTTTCTAAGGATCCAATGTAGCCTAATAAGAAGGTTTTTTGTCCTTATTAATTCTATTTGTTTTATCAATCCATTGCAATTTTAGTTTTATTCATTGTCCTTTATTCAATCTTTAATTGATGTTATTGCTTGATCACCTTTAATATTAATTAATTGATTGTGTTAGACAAGGTTAGACTACACACCCTAGCTAATCTTGAATAGCTCGTGTGAGTGAATGATTAGTATTTTGTGCATATGCCCTAACAAAATGCGAATTGGTTCATGATTTCTTGAATGATTAGTATTTGTGCATATGCTCTAATAGATGCGCCTTTATTCATGATTTCGGGTGCTCTTGTGTTTAATGGATTTTTAATCATTAGGCTAAACTATATACCCTAGCTAGTTTGTGTTGAAGATGCTAGGTTAATCCCAAACACCTTACTATAATACCTTACTTATGTGAGTGCGAATCCTAGAATTGGATTGTGATAACAATAGTTTGATAGTTGACATAAAACTAGATTATTATGGTGAAATTGGATACCTAGGATTTAGTTAATTGGATTTTAAATCAGTTTAATAGTTGTTCTCTATCAGTTGGTTTAGTATTAGTTATTTTTACTTTAAGTTTGATACATCATCAATTCTTTATATTTACTCAGTTTATTTGTTTTAATTAAGGCATAGTTTATTAAGATTAAATGAGTGCTTACATATCTCTGTGGGATCGACCCTTGTATGTGCACATTATATTGCAGTTGTGATTCGTATATTTGTGAGGATTACAATTGTTCAAGAGGTCATTATGTTGTCGAGCCCATGGCCTTTTGCCATGTGGGGAATTGACCTCATCGGGCCCTTGCCCCAAGAAAAAGGTGGAGTCAAGTTCACAATAGTCATTGTCGACTATTTCACAAAATGGGTAGAGACTGAACCACCGGCGACGATTACCGTTGGTAAGATCAAAAGCTTTGTACATAAGAATATCATCTATCATTTTGATATACCACACACAATCATCATGGATAATGGGAAGCAGTTTAACAACAAGGAGTTTCAAACATTCTGCGATAGGCTCGGCATGAAGGAAAAGTTTTCAGCAGTTTACCGTCCCCAGTCCAATGGGTTGGTCAAGGCTGTGAACAAAGTCATAAAGCACATCTTGAAAGCAGAGCTTGG